ACTGAGCTGGGCATCCTTGAAAAATGAGTAATGACACAGTAGACACTGAAGACGGTGAGAACATAAAGGAGGAAAAGACACATATTTTCAATCAAGACTGTGTTAGAGACTTAAACCAAAACCAGGTGGGTGTCCTGGGTAGTCTTGAGTTCGAGGAACTGATACACCGAAAATATATTCATTTTTAGACCCATATTTTATACTAATTTTTGGTGATATTGCACTTTAATAGAAGATATTTTGATGTTTTCTTGCAGGTTATTGATTTTTAGGACTTAAAGCAAAATGGAAGCAAAAAGGATATAATTTGAAGTCAAAATGATGTTTTTGAAGAAATACTCAGCCCCTGCAGCGCCAAAGGAAGCGCCGACGACACAAACCAACATAACAGACAATGATTTTACTCAGCGCCGACAGCGCCCAGGGGCAGCGCCGACGGCGCCAATGTCGGTTCAACCATCGATTCTAGAAGATTCGACGTATTTAGACGCTTTTTGAAGAGATTTTGGAGGCACCTACTGGAGAACCGACTTGAGGCTCTATATAGGGTCGAAATTCATCAAAAAGTGCTCCTTTTCAGCCATTTCTCATTTTTCATTCATCCTCCTACACGCCATACACTTTTCCATCTTCATTCCACCACCATTTTGGAGTCAATTAGTGAGTTTTCTTTAAGTGTCTAGAGTTTTTGTGGTGAGATTGAGTGTAAATTTTTCTCTAAGAGTGTTGGAGAAGGGAAAAGTGAGAGATTTCTTCTTCCTGCATCTCTTAGGAAATGCTACAAGGGATTTGCTTTGAGAGAGAGTTTCACATAAGTGTTGGTTATTTATTAGTATTGTATGAACTTTCTTTTATATATGAAATTTGTGTTTTGTTGTATCTTTCTCATGAAGTTTAAATAGTTTCCTCTATCTTTCTCCCTACTCTGAGATATGATGAAATGAAGAGATAACATGGATATGCCAATATTAAAATATAAAATAAATTGTGATGATTTTTCAACTCCGAACTTAATTTACTTTTCGATCTGACCAATTGAATTGTTAAAATGTGTTGTGAAACATATGATCCAGGAAATGAAGTATGAGTTCTACAACAGAGTGTGGATCACATTTGATTTCATGGAGGAGAAATTCGTTCATGTAATTAAGTGAAAATAAATAGAGAAATATTCTTTGCTGGGTGTAGAATTGAAGAATTTTTAGGGTGACATACTAAAATCATCAATTTGGTCTTAGTGTTTAAAAAATAAAGCGAAAGTCAGTCTTCAGGTGAAGGGAAGTGGGAGCTCTGGAGTGGGAGCCAATATCCTCCTAGCCTAGCCACGAATTTAGGGACTAAACCTGAGATTAGCCAATAATTTTCCATGCACTGTATCAGAGTAGAGAATTAAAACTGCTCCTATTTGGCACAATACATATTATAAACATTTATCTCATCTCATTTCACCAAAACCTCATTGTAGTGAGAATGATGTTTTTTCACATAAGAAATCTTCATTACATAAACATAGTTAGTAGATTAGTAGTTACTGTTTAAATCTTACATTTCTGTTTTGCTAATTGTTAAGTAATTTAGTTTTTATCTCAACATTCGAAGTTAGTGACAATAATTTCGTTTGACTTTCTGTGAATTTCCTAATAAAATTTATCATTGCAAATTTAAACATTTTCCGTGGGATCGATTATTGAGGCTTAAATAGAAAGTCCATTATTACTTGATAACGATACGTATACTTGCGTAGAATCTTATTAATAATTGCCTATACTTATATATATTTTACACAACTTACTTTTAGTACACGAATCAAGTTTTTAGCGCCGTAGTGGTGTCAACTTCATAAATCCTTATATATAAAAAATCGGGATCAAGTTTTTGGCGCCGTTGCCGGGGAAGGTAGCTATTAAATTAAATAATTTTGATAAATTAGGAAATTTAAAAATAATATATATACTATAAAAATACAAAAAAATATAAAAAATAAAAAATCCAAAAAGAAATATATTTTTATTTAAGAGTGTTTATTTTTTAGAATTTTACTTTGCTTACTTTATTTGTTTATGCGAAATATTAGATCTGAAGATTTATTACCTTACGATTCAGAATTAGAACGTACTATTAGAAAAATTCGAAAACAACAAAGAGAAATTAAAAATTTAAAAGAAATGACAAGTAACTTAGATAATCCAATAAATGTGGATCGACAATGACCTTTAAAAGATTATGCGAATTTGACAGCCGATGAACTTCACTTGACTATTCAAAATTCTGATGTTGCTGTTAATTCATTTGAGCTTAAACCTGCTTTTATCAAAATGATACAAAATAATCAGTTTGGAGGATCACCTACTGAAGATCCTAATTTACGTCTTGCTAGTTTTTTTGAAATTTGTGCTACATTTAATATGACGGAGTGTCTAATGATGCAGTTAGGCTTAGACTTTTTCCTTTTTCATTAAGGGATAAAACCAAGACTTGATTAAATTCATTAGCATCTGGATCTATTAGAACTTGGAAAGAATTATCACAAAAATTCTTGGCTAAATATTTTACACCCTCGAAAACCTCTAAGCTTATAAATGATATTTCATCTTTTTGTCAGTTTGAATGAGAGTCAATATATGAAGCCTGGGAAAAATTTAAAGCTCTTTTTAGAAAATGTCCACACCATGCTTTACTAGATTGGTTAATAATTCATACTCATGCTTTACTAGATTGGTTAATAATTCAAACATTTTACAATTGATTAGTAGGATCACTTAGATCTATTATAGATGCTGCTGCGGGTGGATCATTAATGTCAAAACCTTTTGATGAAAAATATTTTTTAATTGAAGAAATGATTATTAACAATTTTCAATGGCCCTCTGAAAGGGCAAATCCTAAAAGAGTAGTCAACATTCATGATTCTGATGCAATGTCTATTTTGACATCTCAAATTGCTGTTGTTTCTAAAAAGATTGATCAAATAGGAGTGAACAATTCTCAAATACCCCCAGTATTAGAGGAGAATTCACTAGGACAAATTCTTGATGCTCAATCATCTTATGAAATTTTAAAACGCTATAAATAATCGAAATAACAATCCCTATTCTAACTATTTTAACCCTGGATGGAAAAATCACCCTAATTTTTGTTGGAATAGTTAGAACAATTCGGTGAATCCATCCGGAAATCTGAACAATCAAGGAAATCCTAATTATCGACCTTATTATCCTCCGGGATTTAACTCCAACCGTTACTCACAAGTTAAGGAAAAGAAATTGACGTTGAAGAAGTGATGTTGAATATGAGAAATCAAATACAGAATCAAGAGGCTGCTATTAGAAATATTGAAAATCAGTTAGGATATATTTCTAATAAGATCTGAATCAGAAAGCAAGAAAGGAAAGACTAATGACTGAATACTAATAATGTTAATCCAATTTGCTCATATGCTTCTAATCCCTACCATCAATGCACCAAATATTGTTCCCAGAGAACCAACAAGAAGACAAAGTTCAAGTAAGGAAAGCTAGGAATTGCTACATTTGTGAGCACATAAAGAAGCAGCAGAGGTTTAGGGGTGAGGGGAGGAAGCATGTGGACCCTAAATGCAAATATGCATCAATTCCATACCACAAATGCTCTTCCCACTGCTTCCTGAAGATCAACCAAATGACATAAACAACATATTAATACAATTCAGTTCTTTGTTATTGGAGATGTCTTGCAGCTCTCCTTCTAAAAAGTGGATGGATTTAGTAGTCAGCAATTCTATATTTTCTGCAGATGTGAGACTTTTTTATGTATTTAATTTGACTTTAATACCACTTTTGCTTACTTTCTAAAGATGAAATACATGTTTTTCTTATATAGGCTTATGTATGACCAAGAATGTTATAAATATAATATGAAATTTTCGGTGTTAAGAAAGAAGTAGGAATTGGGTGGTGTGTATGTAATTGCCCCTTTATAGATTTATAATTGTAAATTTAGGTGTTAGAATTATAACTACGTAGGAATTGGGTGGTGTGTATGTAATTGCCTCTTTATTAATTTATCTATTTTAAGTATGTTGATGGTTCATTCGGCTTTGATGACAAAAATTATGGGTTTTTCCAATTCCATTGTTTGCAAGAAATTTTTAGAATGAGGGTTTTTTCCAATTCCAAGTGGTTTAATATGTACAATAAAGAGTATAAAATGCACATAGAAATTTATTATCTTGTTAATTTTGTCATTGGCTTTGATCTGTGCTTCAGCTCCATTGAACTTTGTTGGTAGAAAGATTATTTATTCAGATCAGGGGCAGAATGATCATTTATCTAGAAACAACTGAAAATCAGCTGTTTTCCAAATGCAGAAACCAAACAACCAGTCAGCTTATGCGGATCAGCTGTTGATCAACAGCTTATGCGGATCAGCTGTTGATCAACAGCTTATCCGGATCAACAGCTTATTTGAATAAGCTGGGTAAGCTGCAGCTGCCCCAAACAGACCCTAAAATGCTTGCTGCAGTTTTAGTTCCTCAAAAAATTATGAACTCTTTCCTACACAATGACAAGACTAGAGTCTGTACTCACTCGTAGAAGACCTTTTTTATTGTCCGGATCATAGTGTAAGCTATTAACTATGCTGCATGGGCATTCAAACAAATATATACGAACAAGAACTTCAATCTCGTGTTTTGAAGGCCAAAGTTAGCATTTTCCTAACTCACCAACATTTTTGTTTCTTCAACGACGACCAGAAATCTTTATATATTCTAAATATACACAATTTTTTAAGCCTCTCTATTTTCATGCACATGAGAACCTCGAAAATTTTTTGTTCATTTATTTTACCGATCATTTACATTACAGTGAAAGGAAGTATAATTTGTTTCATCAAAATTAACAGTTAAATCACTAGAGCATACTTGTATAGTTTTGTTAAATCTCTACTTATGGTACTTTTTTAATGCATCGGCTTTACAATGAATGAGTTCTGATCTTTTTTTACCTTTTACCATTGATCAGGCATCTTCCCGAGGATTCGCATAAAGGATCCATATGAACGGCTTGGTATCAGCAAAGAGGCTTCTGAAGAAGAGATTCAGGCAGCTAGAAACTTCCTGATTAACAAATATGCTGGACACAAACCAAGTGTTGATGCAATTGAATCAGCTCATGACAGAATAATTATGCAGAGCTTTTATGATAGGAAAAATCCTAAAATTAACATTAAGAAAAAGGTAAGGGAAGTTACTCAGTCGCAATATGTAAAGGCTATAACTAGCAGGTTTCAGACACCAGCAACAAGAATCATTCTAAAGACAAGCATTGCATTTGTTGCACTTGGACTATTGACTGTTCTATTTCCCACAGAAGAAGGACCTACGCTTCAAGTAGCCATTTCTCTTATATTATCCATATACTTCATATATGAAAGGCTTAGGAACCGAGTGAAAGCTTGCTTATATGGGTATGTAGCTTATTTGTCTGACATTCTTTTTCTATCATGAATTTAATTTCTTTGGCATGAAATAGCAAAAAAATCTCATTGCAATATCTAGATTTTAAATTGAGTAAAGTGCCAAAATAGTCCACTGATTGTTTAAAAGGGGTCATTCTAGTCTCAAAGTCTATGAAATTGTCAAATTACTCTCTAAGGCTATTTAATTTGGGGCTTAAATAATGCTATGTTGGGATTATTTCAGGCCATATTAAAACTGTCCGGGGACTAAATTGATAATTTATAGACTCTGGGACTAAAATGATCCCATGCAAAAAGCCAAGGAATTATTTTGACACTCCTCGCATTTCAAATTTTGTTTTTACGATACCAGTTACATGTTGACTTTTATGTAATTCACATGTTTAAATGCATGGCCTCCATCTGATTGCGTTATGCATTGGAACTTGGAAAGGCCCATGAGAAGTAGTTTAGTTCTAGCGTAATTTGGCGGTCCCAAATTTGAATCATGAAACAATATCATTGTATATGTCCGTAGGGGTAAACTTCAAATATCAAACCTCTACAAAACCTGCATTAGCAAGAGCTTCATGCTTCAGGCGTGCTCTTTTTGTGCATTGGAAACGTGGGATGTATTGTATTATTGCTGTGGTCGAAAGAACATATTGTTGGTATTTGGTTAATTTTATACTAATGTAAAGCTTTGAAATTAAACATCTATGAATTGGGAATGTTAACCTTCGGTATATGCTTTTAATTAGATGAGGTGCATGGTAACTGTATTAGTGGAACTGTGGAAGCAGCAAATACGGGTAATAATTTAGTTAACAATTTACTCTGATAATGAAAGGGGAGTGAGAGAAGCACTGGGTGTAGAATTCAAGCGAGAATGCTTGAAAGTTAAAATTGGTTGGAAAAACTTGCATTGTTAGAAGACACAGGATATATTTAGAACTGAAAAATACTTTTTAGACCCATTTCGATCACAACAAAGAAGCCTCACATTACTCACTTTTTTTTTGTTTATTTGAATTTTTTGCCTACGAAACATGGAAAAATGCATGCCATATGTGTTTATTTTGGTATTTTTTGGCGTGAGAATTGTTTTGAGAAGCATCATTGATCAGAACTAATATAGATAGAGAATGATTCTCAGGCTGAACCATCTGGAATAAGGTTACTGCTTATTTTCATGATTCTTTTCTCTAGAAGTGAGGTTGTTGACTATTAAAAATATTTATGGTGGCTACAGGGTTAGAGTGATTAATAAATACGGTAGAACCATATTAGATTTTGCTTTAGTTTATGATTTTATTATTGCTAATACTTTTTTTAAGAAAAGATATAAGTATATTATTACTTATAAGAATGGATCTAATAAAATACAAATTGATTATTTTATTATGAAAAAAAAAAGATCGTCGAGAATGTAAAAATTGTAGGATATTACAAGTAAAATTTAAGTACTCAATATCGATTATTAATTTTGAATTTTAAGATGAGTTCTAAGATAAAGAATACAATGAAATATTTTCATAACATTAGATGGGGGTATCTAAAAGATAAAAAAAATTATTTTTACGAACAAAATTCAAGAATTCAAGATTTGGGAAGTTCATGAAGAAGCTAATTTTATGTAAAATAAAATAACAAATACTATTAAACAATTGACAAAAGTTTTACTAGTATAATCAAAAGAAAAAGTTTTTATAAATAAAAAAATGGATAACGGTGAGATAATAATGCGCAAGAAAATATAAAACAATTATGTTATAAAAATTAGTTTAAATATAAAAGTTTAGAGAACAGAGAAAAATATAAGGTGACACGTAGGGAGTCTAAGAGAACAATTAGCGATGCTAAAAATTCTGCATTTAGTGTTCTTTATAATAGATTATATACTAAATTTGGTGAAAACTATATGAATAAACTAGTCAAATAAATAGAAAAGAAAAATAAATATTTAATTCAAGTAAAGTGTATTAAAAATGAAAATAAAAAAGTGCTTTTCTTGAAGAAAAATATTCAACATAGGTGAGTGAGCTATTTTGATGAACTTTTCAATGAAGTTTTTAAAATTACAATCGACCTTAGTGATTTTAATATTATTACTTATAATGAAACTTTTTTATTTTTACCGTCGCATTAGTAAAAGGAAGTTGGGGAGACTTAAAAAACAATCAAAAGTGAAAAATTAGTAGGACCAGATAATATTTCAATTGAAGTGTGGAAATATTTAGGAAATTTGGGAGTTTCTTGTCTTGCTAAACTCTTCAGTATAATCTTAAAAACTAAAAAGATGCTTGAGGAGTGAATGAAGAGTATTTTGATCCCCATTTTTAAGAATAAAGTGGATATGCAAGAGTGTGCAAATTATAGAGGAATTAAGTTAGCTTCTCATACCTTAAAATTATGGAGGGTAATTGAACATAGGGTAAGACTTGATACAATTATTTCTCATAATCATTTTGGATTTATCCCAGACAAGCCTACTGTAGAAGCTATACATTTATTGAGAGGTTTGATGGAGAAGTGCAGGGAGAGCAAGTAGGATCTACATATGATTTTTACTGATTTAGAAAAAGCTTATGATAAGGTTCCAAGAGAAGTTTTTTGGAGAGTTATAGAGCTGAGAGATGTTGATGTTACTTGTATTCAAGTCATTAAAATATGTGTACTAGAGCTTTTACTTATGTTCAAATAGAAGGATTGACCAAGTATTTTCCTATTTCAGTTGGATTACATCAAGGATCAGCTTTAAGTCCTTATCTTTTTGCTTCAGTTATGGATGCTCTTATTGGACATTTCAGTAAGATGCGCTTTGGTGTGTATTTTTCGTTGATGATATCCTTCTTGTGGATAAGATTAGAGAAAGAGTTCAGGAAAAACTTGAATTATGGAGGTCTAAATTGGAATCTAAAGGTCTTCGTTTTAGTAGATCTAAAATTGAGGACATGAAATGTAATTTTAGTTGTAGTAGCACTAGTGACAGAGTTGTAACCATAAACGATCATATCATTACAAGTTAGGTGTGCAAGTTTTAGATATCTTGAGTCTATTGTTCAAAGTGATGGTGATTTAAATGAGGATGTTATTAGTAGAATTCATGTTGGTTGGTTGGTTGGTTGGTTGAAGGTGAAGGGGAGGAATGCATCGGGCCTATTGTGTGATAGAAAAGTACCACATAGACTTAAAGGAAAATTTTATGGGATTGTGGTGAGACTTGCAATGCTTTATGATGCAGAATGTTGGCCTTTAAAAGAGAAGCATAAAATAAAGTGTTTTTGAGATGAGAATGCTTAGGTGGCACTTAGAGACAAAATGCAAAATAAATCTATTCGTGAAAGTGTTGGTGTAGCTCCAGTGGCAGATAAAATTAGAGAGTCTTTTTAGATGATTTGGTCACATTAAACCTCGACCATCCAATGATCCGGTTAGGAGAGTAGATTTATTAGATTCAACTTATGTTAAAAAAGACAAAGGTAGACCTAAAAAGACTCGGACATATTTTATAAAAAATGATTTTAATCTTTCATAATTAAATGAAAATATGACACTCAACGGGACACAATGGAGAAAAATGATTTATATAGCTAGCCTCACTTAGTGGGATAAAGACTTGTTGTTGTTATAGTATGAAATATAAACGACACTGTACTAGTTTAAATATTTTTTAAAGTTAAATTTTAGAATTTCCAGCATAAAAATGGCCATTAAACAACATTCTTGGACTGGCAGCAGTAATTCCACCATGAACTTTGGCATCCACAGTAGTTATCTTGTATGCTTTCTTTGTGCAAATTACTACAAATAGGAGTAATATTTATATGTACCTGCAATCATGACAAAAATATGATTTCTGATGCTTCTATGTTGTAGGATTGGGGCTTTTTTTCTTTCATGGCTGTTGGGCACCTTTCTTATGGTTTCTGTGATGCCGCCACTTCTGAAAGGTCCAAGGAGTCTGGAAGTGACTACATCTTTAATAAGCTATGTGCTTCTGTGGGTATCTTCTACATTTCTTAAATAGTTCACTTAATCATTTATGAACATGTAAAATGCCAAATTTATAATCACCATCGCTATCGGGTGTATCCTATCTATTTTTTCAAGCTTTTAGGGGCCGTGATTTTGAGCAAGAGGAAAATGATGTGGTTTTGTATTGTTAGAAACATCATATTTCTGTGTAGCCAATTCAAGTTTTTTTGTTTTTACCTACTATGTAGCAGCGCTAAATGTACAAGTATTTTATTTTAAATTTTTATCTAAAATGATGCTTACTATGTTCATTTTCAATTAACGTAGTTGCCGAAATAACAACAGGCCAATTACTGTTACGATAGCGTCCCTGAAGGAAAGGACGTTATGATGATTACACAGGTTCGTAGCATTGACATATTTCATTTTTGTGATATATTTGAACATTAAGATAATATGTCATCTTCGGGTGCATTGCTGAAATCATTGATACTTGAATATTTACTTGCAACTATATGAGCTTATGCAGTCCAGCACAGTAAACATGATTCCAATTGTTTATACCAGTGATGGACGATTTTACAATCACTATCAGCGATATAAAGTGATGATTGCTAAAGCCTATTATCATTTGAATAAGAAAATTTTATGTGCGTTTTAACATTATTATATATACTTTTTGTATTATAGAAAAATTTATTAATCCTAATATTATTTCATTATAGTCTCAATATTTCTATGAATAGACAAGGATTGAACTCATATAGGAGGAACAACTAGTCGGACTCTGATTAGACTTTCATCCTAGCAATTTTCATGCGTTGATTAGGAATCTATTAAATTATAGGAAGATTGGAAACAAAGCAGCAGGCTTAAAACTTTTCACAAGGTGAGCAAAGGAAGCAACAAATCAAACCTGCTTTATCTTTTCTTACATTCTGAAGCTTATCTGAAAGTTTCTCCAAGCAGTATTCCATACATTTGTGGTTGGGATTGGAAGTATGAGGGCAGTTCGGATTTATCACCTTTTTCTCTGATTTCTTCTCCCACTATTGATCCCCATCTACAGATTCAGAGAGTTAGGTGCTCGAAACCAATAAACGAACAAACAGATGAATAAATAGATAAAAAAAACAAGAAATTTTTGCCATGGGAAAATTTGACAAGGCAGTGTTGGCCAAATTTATGGTAGGGATTGGATACGTTAGGGCAGTCGAGATGAACATCTTTATAGTTGAAAGAGAGGACAATGGCAAGGGAGCCTCAATCTTGTTCCTACCATTCCTTCGGAGAAATTCATTTTTAGAGCTCAAATTCATTTTCCGGCCTCCATCCCAACCCTCCATTCTTCTCCAATTCGACTTCTGATTACTGGAATACTCCCAAAAAATGGAGAATAGCTAAAGCATGAAGTGAGAAAGCTTGTAATCAATGAGGCCTAAAATGGTCAAAGAGGAGTGAGTCGTATCATAGGATAATTTGGACATTTCCACTTGACAAATGTGGAACATAGGTTCGTAACCCCTAGCGTCGTCGCAATTGGAATTTGGCTAGAATGAATGTTGTGGTAGAAGAAACATTCGGAAAAGATGCTATCCAAATGAAGCAAGACCGTTATGTTAGCTCACGCCATATTGTAAACACACTGCAATGGAGCAGAAAAATCATCTTAAATGAGGCCCGAGTCTAGTTGTTGAGAGCTTTGTTTTTAATCATAAGATTTTGAGTTTAAGAATAATCTCATACAGAAGCATGAGTTAAAATAAATAAACTTAATGCTATCGTAAGGTCTCTTTGGAGCAACTGCAACTATTTGACGAAGCTGCTGCACAACAGCTGTGTGAAGAAACAGTTGCAGGGAAACTGTCTGTTTGTTTAATTCAGTTGTGCAACAACTATTTATGAAAAAATATGCATTGATGTGTTATTTGTAAGATAATCGTTTCAAGCTTAATAAGTCATCAATGAAAATAAAAATTACATTCTGAATCCTAAAAAATTCACAAGTTTAAATATTAGAACTAAAAGTGACATCTAACTCAACAGTGAGTAACAAAACAATCAAAATAAAAAAAAATATAAGAATAATAAATAATATTATCAAAATATTAATTTGAAATCCAGACGATCAATCATTTGAGATAACTTCTCAAAAGATACTCTCCATGCATGATCATTTTATGAGGTAAAGTCATCAACCTAATTAGACTACCTAAACAAGTCACATTCCTCTCTTGATATATTCCTTAGACAGCTGTAAAATTTTCTCCCATACTTATTTTCTCTTCTTGATATGAGTAGAAAAAATTACAATCTACAGTTACAATACAAGATTTTAGAAGCACAAAAAATTCTTGAGCTCATATTTTCTAAAAGTTGAAACAACAAACATAAAATTAGTTTTGCATTAATAGTACAACGATAAAATTATAAGAAAAATTATCTAATAAGAATAATAGAAACACGTAGATAAAGATTTATAAAACAATCATGTCTCAAAAAAATATAAACTATTGCATAATCTGTCATTATAAAACGACAGAAAACACTAAATAAAGGGGGTCTTATTTGTCTTTAAATTATGCACTATTGAGCTCGTATATATCATAGAGGCATATCAACACAAAGACCCTCCGGAAGAACCTTACAGTCGTATGACTAAAAAGAGTGTGTTTTGATTGCCTTAACCACATATGTCACAGAAGCATATTAGTACAAAGGCCATTTAAGAAAATCCCAATAGTCACATGACTTAAAAAGAAGGGGAACTTAGTTGCCTTATCATGGATCTCATATATGTCAAAATTCATAACAACATAAAGATCATCCAGAAAAATCCATAAGGTCAAATATCTCATCATAGACCTCCCAACAAAAAAAAAAAAAAAAAAAAAAAAAATACACCCATGGTTGCTTAAGAAGCCATCCATGTTGGGTAAAACACAAATTGATAGATAAAAAAACACTGCAACAAATCATACAATATTCCACATAAACATCATTGCAGAAAGAGCCGATATTAAGAGATTAATCTATATCTGTATACAATATCATAAAGGCATCACATATTAACTAATGCATCTGTAATCTGCCCTCGCAGTCGAATCATATTTTTAGCGCTCTCTCCATTTTGCATACAAGGGTCACCCAGATCATAATCATTTAATAAGATTGATTCTCTTAAGTGATACTCACATGGTTATAGAGGAATAATTGACTCGTTTTCATCAGCAATATTAAAATCAATGTCAAATATTGTAGGATGTCAACAAATATAATTGTTCAGAGCCATTATTGTAGTGACAATCATTCACAAGCTTTTTGAACGGATATGCAAACATGTCTTGAAGAATCACCCATTTTTTCCACACCCAAATGTTCTCTCAATGTCACCCCATAAAGAAAAGTGTCACTTGTTAAACATTTTCTTTCTTCTCTGAATAACTTGGCTAGCCCATTCAAAATATTTGAGGTGACATCTCGTGTCAAGATATGGCTCAAGAAATTTACGTTGTAGGGGATAACCAACATCAAATAGATAATATTTTCTTAAGTATATAAAAATATCGCCTTACACATTAGCATACAAGCTATGAAATTTATTTTTTTAGAGTTTCTTACCTTGAGGCGGCATAGGAAAATTATAATAGTTATTTCACACAACAAAGTTAAAAATCTCACTAACATGTTTATTAATTTTTCATCAAGTTATTACAAAAGTAAAGTATATATTGAAATTACGTACAACCATAACGTTCTATGTAGATGAGCAACACCTCTCAATATACACAACTTCTTTATTTTGAGGTATCCGTACATCAATATGTGTTCCATTAATAGTACTAATGCAATCCTATAAGCTATTTAAATTGATTGAGTATATTTAACATACATTATACACCACAATAAATGAAATATACCTTAGAGTACGACATGTATCTAGGATCATTCAAAATTTTTTAGGGTGTGCAATTAAATGTAGGGTCTTCTGCTGTAATATTTTTGGAAGACAAATTAATCAAAACATCCTAATCAATTGAGAAATATCTACTAATTTTTTTCGATGAATGCTGGAATTGCTCCGTAATAAACCCGACCGACTCATTCTATGATATAGAGGGCTGTCACTAACACCTCTCTCAAAGTCATATTGGAGGACCCATGGAGGCTATGATTTTGATGCAGTTCATCCAATAGATCTACGAAAACTTGTTAAGACATAGAAACATGTCGTGAAATCTAGTTGGGTGACTCACAAGTAACTCTCCAATCCATTTGTCTCTTATGTATGTTGATATCATACAAGGAGTACGAATAATATATGAGTTAATATTTATATATCAAGTACACACAATATATCAGTTAATATTTATATATCAAGCATATGACTGCTGCGATTAATCTTTTATGATGTAATCTTTCATTGTTATTCATTTTTTATCTGAAAAGCAATAATTCGGTATTAATAGAACGATGAAATCATATCAAATAAATATATGTCACATCATAATATAACAATGAGTACATGTTAAGTATACATTAAAGAAATTCAATGTAGCAACATCAAAAAAAAAAAATTACATTCAACCATCACGATTGTTGTAAAAAAACTTATGTAATCTAGCCTATGCTCAGGGTCCAAATACAAAAAAATTCTTGTTGGAATTCCAACAATTTCATGGCATACAAATGTAGAGGAATTTTTTTATAAATTTTTGGAGTTTCTCGTAGGATTTTTATAACTTATGGAACTGATGTTGGTGGTGCAACTGAAGTTGCTAGGCTTGTTGGGAATACTACTACATGCAGAAACTAGTTTAGAAATTTTATTTTGTAAGAACATGGTGCCATCCATCTTCTTACTCTCTTCTTAAAGTGTAAAGATGGTTGACATTTTATATGTCTTGATCCAACATGTTCGGTGACAATTCGTATGGATCCTTCACTTGAGTCAGCTCTGTGCTCAGAAAATCTAAAGCTTCAGATACATCAGCTCGGTATTTGACTTAGGGTCCATGCATGATTACTGGTGGCAATGACCCCACCAAATAGTTGTTCCAATTTTTTAATGCCAGTAAATTTAAAATTATCACATTTGACAACCTATAAATGATAGAAAAAAAGAACTGTTGACTTGTAGCATTATTTAACATAATAATATGAAATTGTCTAATTAAAAGACATTATTTTATCTCCAATATTTCATTCCATCATTGTTCTGACACGTCAATAGTACGCTTTGTTTGATCCCAACAAAAACTAGTAGCTTCTCATTTTAATTATTTACATAATTTTCATTCTTTAATTGATCCCACTTACTCTTTAGTTGCTTCTTTTGATACTCTCGTCCAATCTTTTCTTTAAAATTTTTATGATGTTCTCCCACCTCACTTTGTTGAAAAAATTTGTGGGCCTATTATCCAACTCGAATTTTTTTAAACGTAGGTCATAAAATATTTTTTTTGTATTTCTTTTCCACTTTCATATATAATAAATTTTTTTCTCTTACTCATTTGAACCTCTAATTTTGA